ATGATTTCAGAGTTTCTCCAACGATGATAGATTTAAGACTTCGGAAGTTGTAGTAAAAAAAATGTTTTGCTCAATTCCTGTATTGTTGTTTCAAATATTTATGGTGTGGTTATTATTTGAAAATTTACACGAACAAGTAATTTATAATGCATTTTTTTTTTTTAGTATTATTTATCAATTTATTGTTGATGTGGCATGGTGGCACGTATGTGTCTTGTGAATTGTCATGGAATGACTTACGACTAATTTTATCAAATTAACAAATATCACATTTGCATTAATTAGTCCAATTTATTTATGTACCAAATAAAAATTACCGAAAATATGTTAATAATTATATATGAATCATACTATATACTAACATGCACAAATATATTATTTAATCAATAAAATATGAAACACGGTATGCATGTGGCTTATAAAGTACTTTAAATTTTTCATAAATAAAAATACATATGCAGACAACTTAGGTACTTAATAAAGTATAAAATGCTGTTAATTCTACACGTTTGAAACTATGGAACTACACGCTTTAGAAAAAGTGTATTATTCGATAAATTTTATAGCTCTAAGTTTAAAATTAACATTCTATTTTATTGTTTTTTTTTTTTTTTATTAAAGAAAGATTCAATAATATTCGCATTGTACAGCAGTAATTGGACCGAAATGGATATGAAATGTAAACAATTGATATTATTGACAATGAAAATGAATAATGCTAACCACAAAAAGTTAAAATTTACTAGAACAAAAATTGTAAGCTTGGAAATGTTTTTTAAAGTAAGTATTAATTTAATTATTATTTGACTTGTATTAAGACATTTTTGTGGAATGCATTTATAGAGCTATAGTAGTCTGCAAATATATTATCCCTAACTTAAAAAAATTAAGATTTCTTAAATTTAATGAAATTTTATATGAATAGCACTTGGAAAATTTATTAGTGATTATCAAATTTCAAGTTTTTCATTATTTTTGAATAAAAAAAATAATACTTTACTTAAATTCGTTATACTTGACATCAATCATATTTATCAAATAAAAATGAAGGGATATATTATTTATATTTTTTAATAAACAAAGCTATAAAATAAATAAAATTGTTCACTTTTTAACGTTTGACAAAATCATAAACCTTGTGAATAAAAATTATAGGTAGGTAATATAAATATTTGGTAAAATTACCAAACTATTTCGGTCCTCTACTATAAAAAAAAGATATTTATATATTATGTTTTTGGACTCTGAGCGGAGTGATAAATCTAGTGGTTTTACAATGATGTTTATTTTATTATTTTTTTTTTTATCTTGTAATTTGTAAAATTGTACCAAGATGGTAATTTGAAGAGGTCGTTTTTCGATTTCCTCAATAGTTGTTTAATGCCATGGAAAAAAATCCCTAAATATACTATGCTTAACTATTTTTTTTCAACTTTTTGAATAAACGAATAAATGAATTTATTAAAAAATCCCTAAATCTCCTATGCTTATCTATTTTTTTTCTAAATTTTTGAATAAACGAATACAATTTTAACTTAACCGCTAAAAATTGATAATTTATGAATTTATATTTGTATTAATTTATATTTATTCATTTTACTATTGACCATATTATACATAATTTATGAATTTAATTTCAAATTATATACTAATATTTACTAAACATACTAATTTCTATATACAAACTAGCTTAACCCGTGCACTTCGTTGCCTATTAAGTGTACCAACTCTATGTGACTCAAACTTTGTTTAATTCGTTATTTAATATTCAGTGTATGATTTCAAAATTAATCTTTTAAAATCAGATGAATAAAAAAAAACTTATTTAAAACCATTTTAAATTAGCTAATCTTCTTCTCACAGGTCTAATCTTCACACAAACATTCAATTATATAATATAATATATAATATGTACATATTGACAAATAATAATAATATAAATCAACAAACATGGCCGATTTACCAATAGCAACCGAAATACAATACACGATAATAATTTTTTTTTGGCCATTTCACCAGGTGTGCACTGAAGAGGCCATAACTCCTTAACCACTTATTGCATTTCACAAAAACTATATACAGATTATCTTAATATGCCTTGGAATTTTGGCTGTGGGTGAGTTGCGGCCCGGCGTGTCGTTTCCGGTGTTGGAGACCGGTGAATTGCGGCCCGATAATATTTTAGTTATAGGTGAGTTGCGGCCCGAAAAATTATCATTATCTATGTACCTATTGGCTAGTAACTACATTATGTACGATGTATCTGTCAGATGGCTATACATATAGTGATAAACGAATTGTTCGATACGTATGGCAAGTTATATAGCAATACAGCCTGCAGAAAATGACCAAATTGTGAAATTTACAGACTACATTTTTAAAAACTATATTTCTCCAGACGCTATGTTCTCCCCAAATATTTGGGCACAATTTACTGCTAGCTGCAACCGTACTACTAACAGCTGTGAAAGTTTTCATTCAAAACTAAATATGTCGTTCTACACTAGCCATCCTAACATTTATAACTTCGTTGATGTGTTACTAGAAGTTCAATCTGAAAAAAACATAAGATTCAGAAGTAAAAGTGTAAGAACAAAGAAAATGTGTGAAAAGGGAGCTTTCGTTAGAGAGCAGATGACAAAACTCGAGCTAAAAGAAATAGATAATTTTGAATTAGTTAAATCGTTAAGTTTCAAGTTTTTTCCAAAACAATAGAATATTATTATCATAATATATTATATTCTAGAAACGCAAAATATTATTAGTTAATTTTTTTTTTATTTATATTCTTGAAATGACAAATATTAATAATATTAGACAATACTAGAAAATACGTAATATTAATAAATTTATATTGTGATGTTTATATACATGTACTATGTATAGACTTTAGTATATATTATATATTATGTAGTATATAGATTATTGTATGGCCGCAATTCGTACGTACCTCTCATAAACCCGGGCCGCAACTCGTACGCTATTTAGGGTTTGGGCCGCAACTCACCAACACCGGAAATTTTTATCGAAATCGGTTTGGTAGACCTTGAGTTATAAAAATTATTCAAGATATACATGTATTTTTATATATAAAAGTATATATATATACAGGGTGTTTCTGAAATGAATGAGGAAACTAGTATATGCGTACTCAGTGTGATGACCCAATGATTATTTTTTTGAAAATTTTTTTCTACCTTCAAAATCTGGGTTTTTTTCAATTTATTTTTAGAACATTATCTTAAATGTAAAAATAAAAACTCAAGTTGAATTTTTTGTAAAAATCTCATACGAATCGAGGTGTCACATCATTTTTGAGCTTGTCGCGCGTTTTTTCACGCTCGAATCGCCGATTAAAAAAAAATGGTGTGGCACATCGATTTGTATGAGAAAACTACAAGATAAACAGTGGTGATAGTTATTTGTTGAAATTTAACATACACGATTAATTAACACATTGTTTTACATTGTCAACTAATAAAAATGATAAATAATAACATAATTAGGGTTAACAGAGTCTTAAATGATCGAATTTATGTGTTAATTAATCGTGTATGTTAAATTTCAACAAATAACTATCACCACTGTTTATCTTGTAGTTTTCTCATACAAATCGATGTGCCACACCATTTTTTTTTAATCGGCGGTTCGAGCGTGAAAAACGCGCGACAAGCTCAAAAATGATGTGACACCTCGATTCGTATGAGATTTTTACAAAAAATTCAACTTGAGTATTTATTTTTACATTTAAGATAATGTTCTAAAAATAAATTGAAAAAACCCAGATTTTGAAGGTAGAAAAAAATTTTCAAAAAAATCATCATTGGGTCATCACACTGAGTACGCATATACTAGTTTCCTCATTCATTTCAGAAACACCCTGTATATTACATCTGCATAATATAATTAATAACTGTTACACTGATGCTTCGATCAGAATCATTTTTTAAGGAATGCAAATCGAATACTCTAAAAATACACTATCCTGTCCTAGGAATGAAGAGACGATGGACAAACTTCCAACCCCCCACCACTAAGCTACACTTACCAGCTTTTTTGGAATTGATTATTAATATTATTATTTTTTATTGCAGACAATGGGTGATTGCTATACAGTTATTTCGGTTTTAGTAAATTATATACAAAGTAAGAATTGATAAGTTTTGTCTATTTTTGTTTTGAATGTAGTAATTTTCTTTTCATTATTGTTTTAATTATTAAACTATTGTCTAGTCGAGTTTAAATATATTATAACAAAAAACCTAGTTCTTATGATTAAATAAATAATTATTCATAACTTCTTAGTTATTACGTATTATTGTAGTTAACATAAATAGATAATTATGGTTATGTAGTAGTTTACACAAAGTTTATTGTAATACATTAATAAAAATAAATTATTTATTAGTATAATACGATTTTGGGATCCTTGACTGTTTATCGCAGTCATTTTAGCGAACGACAATTATTATTCAGCGATGACTGAACTATTTCAACGCAAGACAAGTCAGCACTTTATGTTGAATGAAATATACTAAATTAATTAAACGTAACAAATAATATAATAAAACAACAAATTAAAATACATTTTTATTGATATTCATAAAAAAAAAAATAAAATAAAATTGGTAACAGAAAATGTCAATATTTTGAAACGAAAAATCAATATTATCCGTATAATTAGAATCGTACATGTGTTCAAATATATCGTCATAAGTAGCTTGATTTAAAAATGGATAGCATAATTTTACCAAATTTCTATTACGATGTGTATTTTCCCTAAAGTGTTGATATAAACAAAATCGACATTTTTCCGGAACAATCATTTTTCTAGTGCCATTGTATATTTTTAATTTTTCAGACATATTATAAATGAGTTGATTTAAATGAATACAAAACGGATTAGGTTCAAATGGTTCATAGTAGTTTTTATGATTCCTAAACAATTTCGTTTATTTTCGTAATTGCGCACACTTTGCAAATGTCTGTTGTACAAAATGTCAACTTTTATATTTTTTTATATTGAACGACATTAAATTGATATTTTTTTTCCTCATGCTCGATATAAACACCTGTTTTAGATACGAATTACGAACGTATCGCAAATAATTTTGTTCTATATACTTGTATAAAATTGCGTCCATCACGTAGTCCTCCATAGGAACCGACGCCGTCAATTTGTTGGGGTTCCCGGCCGTCTGTAGAAAAATATTGTACGATATTTTCCCAGTGCGACGACGTGAGGCGTCTAGCCCAAACGCGTCGTCGAAGGCATCGTCGTCCATATTGGCGATAGAGGAAGCATCGTTGCAACCATACACACCGACAAGCCGAGTTTGATTGTCGGCAGACATATGCGTGCTCATAAATTGACGAGCCTCGAGCAACATGGACCTCATACTCTCCTTCATCGAAGTCTCCTCCATATTGCATTCCTCCAGTCCCACGTCCTGTGCCAGGTTCGTATTCAGCCATTTCTTCGGATTCATTAATGTCGCAAAATGTTCCGGGTGCCATAGAGAAATTAAAATTATCCAGACCGAAATGTGAAATTGTGTTCCCACCTGCAGTTTTAAATCCTTGAAAATCTGGGTCACGTGTACGAGATTGTCCACACTCAAATTCTCTGATGCCATGGCTGCACGCAGTTGTAATAGAGGAATATTGGTAAACGCTGTCGACGTCGTCTTAGCCTTCTTCGTCGAAACCACAGTAATCTGCGCTGCTATATTCGGCGCATTCCTTTTCCTGCAAGTATTCTCCATAGCGACTTCCGAACATAAGGTGTTGTCTCCGTCAAACATACTCACAGTCAACCATTGAAGCTCTGTGTAGTATGTCGAGAGTAGACTGACCGTTCATTGTACTCTACGTTCTTTTATATGCTTTTATACAAATTATATCGTATGCAACGATTTTGCGAATTTGGCAATACATGCAAAAGTACAAAAATATAAAAACATTAATCTGGTTATGGGGGTATGAATTTTTGATTTAATGATAAAATATATATTTTTAACGAAAACACATTTATACTTACCATATTATATTCAAATCATTTTACTTAGCCGCCCAATTATGACGTCATCTCGCGAAAAAAAATAACTGGGTGCTTGCTCAAATTATTCTATAATTTCGAAAACGACGACGACAACGGCAACATACACGCAGGTCCGCTCTGCTCTATGCCAGAATTTTTTTTGCATCATGGCTTTGCGTCAAATCTTTTTGCTGCATTGTAGGCCAATGATATGTACGAATATACGGCAAAAATAGTATTTTTGTTTTAAATGTAGTAATTTTCTTTTCATTATTGTTTTAATTATTAAACTATTGTCTAGTCGAGTTTAAATATATTATAACAAAAAACCTAGTTCTTATGATTAAATAAATAATTATTCATAACTTCTTAGTTATAACGTATTATTGTAGTTAACATAAATAGATAATTATGGTTATGTAGTAGTTTACTCAAAGTTTATTGTAATACATTAATAAAAATAAGATATTTATTAGTATATGGTTTTGGGATCCTCGACAGTGTATCGCAGTAATTTTAGCATACGACAATTATTCAGAGATGACTGAACTATTTCAACGCAAGACAAGTCAGCACTTCATGTTGAATAAAATATACTAAATTAATTAAACATAATAAATAATATAATTAAATTAAAAATTAAAACCACTTTAAGAATGTTATTATTGCTAAATACTAAAATAATTTCTATGAAATTAATTTATCTCACTATTAATAATACAGTATTTTTTGATATTTTTATCGTAAAAATTTGAATTTCAAGCACTGATAAAAGTGACTTTCTTGAATTTCTTATAGACATTTTTTTTTTGGATAAAGGTAGATAATCTTAAAAGGAATCTTGTATAACATTTTAAAATCTTAGATATAAAAAGAATATTTTTATGAATTCTTTACTCAAAATAATTTGCTAATTTTCGTGATTTTTCCATATTTTGTCAAACTTTTAATGCTTATAAAAAAAAACTGTTGAAGAAAATCCAAGCACTTTTACTGTCCTAAAACGTGATGATAGACACAAAAATAAAAAAGAAAAATTAAAATTAAAAAATTAAAAATTAAAAAAAAAAACACACATCATTGTAAAATCAATACTTTCATTGTTCCACTCAGAATCTAAAACTATTTTGTATAATAGAATTACCAAAATTCCACAACGCATTGAAAACAACTTTAACTGTGTCGTAGCATTTCTAATTTTTTTTATAGCTTTTACCAATAATTTGTAATAAGTAAATGAAAAAAACATAAAATATTCTAATGTTCTTAAACTGATAACATTAATTTCATTTATCTTATCCAAATAATAAAATTGCGTCGACACAAATAAACTTGTTCCCTATGCGTTGTAGAACTATATATACCGAGGGAGTGGTGCATGCGGGTATCACGTCCTATTAAAAACTACTGCTAAAGTTCTTCTGCGTTATTACTGTACAAAAATGCATGATGTATAATTATAAAAAGTTGCAGTTACATGGGTTTATTTTCGAATAAAAAAGTCAAAGGGCTATGCAATAGTTTATACGCATTGTATTGCGTGACAATAATATCATTATACTTTAAAACTATAACCGTAGTCACGCATACGTATGATTATTAAATTAGTCAGTCGAGGAGCCACCTGCTATAATAATAAGTTACATTATTTTGTTACCCAAGTCCATCTCATCGGTCGGCCGATACCAGCAGTCGACATGCAGTAAACAACATACGTGTTTTATGTAAAAGTTATTAAAAATGCATATTTATTTTTGTATTATAACTTACGGTTGAAGACGTTCAACGATTATAAACTGGTAAGGGTATTAAATCACTTTTTTGTAAATTATGAAAACTCGTTAGTAAGTTATTATTAAAAAAACAGGTTATAATTTCATAAAAAATTAGTCAACATTTCTGTGGAATACATTAAAATTACTTTAAAAAAATAATATAATATAATAATACGTATTATTATAATTGTTAATTACTTACTTGAATAGCATAATGTATATTAAAATATTATAGAATGGTAAAAATGATAAATGTTATAAAATAAAAAAGTATGAAAATTAAAATACATTTCTAAATAATTTTCTTCTTGAAAATTGTATCGTCTCTTACTTAAATTATGTTTAAATGTATTATGAAAAATTAAATTCAACATCTACACTATTGTTGTCAGCGCATAGTTAAAAAAATATAAAAATGTTGGCGTTATATCTAAGTTATTAACATCTTGATTTCCTGCCATAACAAATGAGTAAGTTTTAATAGTTTAATTTAAACATTTGTTTGGGTATCCCAAGTACCTGTGCAATATTTAAGATAATTCCATTGGTTATAAATAATATAGAATACTATACTAATATTTATAATAAATGATAATACCTACACTTAAAAAATGACTCGCTTACTTATATAATGTATTATAGTAATTAATAACTGACATAATACGATCAAAAGATATAATATAATATCATTCGATCGAAATCGGTGACTCAGTGCACAGTGTTGATAAATGTTAATATTCATATTAACACCAACAATTAGTTAAATTTAGGAGGGTGTAGATATTCAATATAATATAATACCGGTAGTTGAATCGACTAAATGTTGAATTGACAAATCGAATAAATTTTTATTGATATTCATAAAATAAATATATACATATCTATGGTATTAAAATAAAATTGACCTATAATAGGTACCTATAATAAATTCCAAATTAATCATATCACAATATCCATTAGGTACCTATAAGCATTATACATCAACAACAAACCGTGATACTATCATAGTCCATACTCAATAGATATATAATAGTACACTTTAGAAGTTTCAAGTACCCATGAATAATATTATACAATCACAATAAAATAACTGAAATAGTTATTCTAGGTTTTTTAAAATGTAATTTTGTCCAAATATGAATAAAATGTCTGTAAAAAATAATATATTTTTTGGATTTTTTGGCTACAGTATGAACTATTTATGAAAATCTTTTTTTTTAATTTTCAATCCTTAGCTATAAAAACTGAACATTTTATAATTTATTAATTACGATGATTGATAATTTTCGAGATTTTGATAAATTTTGTCAAAATGCGATCTTTAAATGCTTATAAAAAAAATTGTGCATAATATGTTATATAGTTATAGTTAATAACAATAATATATTTTATATGATATTGAATGATATTGTTTGTAACTTTAATGTATTTTTCATTGCAATTTTGACTTTTTTATGAACGAAATTATATCCCGTCTTTAACAATTATTAAACACGAAGCTTACATTATCTTTTAACTTAAGTTAAAATACAAAAATAATAATGTATTTTTATAAACTTTTACATAAAATAGGTGGGTAAAATAGGTACCTGCATTATCGACGATATCCGCCGACAGTTCTAAATAAAGATAAAAGCAAAATTTGGGTAAAGTTTTGATTCTGTATAACAATAAACGTAAAACTTGGATAACGTTTTAATTCTGAATAACGATAAACACAAATCTTGTATAACATTTTAGTTCTAAATAGCGATAAACTCAAAACTTGGATACCTAGCGTTTAATTGCAATTAACATAAAACATAATTTTAGTGGCAATTTAAAAAGAGTCAAAATATTTTCAAAAAAGTATGGTGTAAAGGAAATGCTAATATAAACATTCAGTGAAATTTTCATGTATCTACAGTAATTCGTTTTTGAATAACAACAAAATAAGGAAATCGCCACATGAGAAATCGAGTGAATATCCAATGTTGTAAAAATTTGAATTTCAAACGCTCATAAAAATTTAATTTGACTTTCTTATAGAATTTTTTTTTTTGATAAATGTAGAAAATCTTATAAGGAATCTTGTATTATATTTTCATATCTTAGATTTAAAAAGAAAAATTTTTATGAATTTCTAACTCAAAATAATTTGCAAATTTTCGTGATTTTTCCATATTTTGACATTTTTTAAACTTTAAATGCTTAAAAAAAAACTGTGACTAACGATTTTTAATATTTTTAATCTGTCTTTGAAACAATATAGTAGGAGCCTTCTTTTAAATTTTCAAGTTTTTTTAACCAACAAATAAAATTTTTATTGATATTTCTAGAAAAAAAACTAAAATAAAATGAAAAATTAAAATGTCCCTAAACAGTTCAAAATAAATCAAAATATTTTGAAAATGTTATCGTGGATAGAAAATGCAAATATAAACAACCAGTGAAAATTCATGTATCTACGGTCATTTGTTTTAAAGTTACACCAAAAACCAAAATCGATATTCTGAAAAATCAATTTTCTGAAAAATCGATTTTGAGTAAAAATTCCCGTTTTTCCTTAATTTTTTTTTTGTTTTTTCTTGGTGCTTTTGAAAACTATTGGGAATTTTAAATTTTGACCTCCCCAATGCACCAACGATATTCACTCTCCAATCGAACAAGATACTGAAGTCGAAAATCGAAACATTATTTCGACTACTTATCGTGTACACAGACACAAAAAAAAAAAACCACATCATTGTAAAATCAATACATTCATCGTTTCACTCAGAATCTAAAATACATTTGGATTTACCTTACCAATATCTGCGCAAAACGCAACATCACATAATTAATTAAATGATATACGTACATAGTCACACATAGGTAGGTATATATGATTTAGGTACTATAATATAGTACAGTGGCGGCTCGTGCCTAGGTGTGCACACCACATAGATTAATTAGATATAATATTGAAAATGTATACCTAATAATAAATACATTTTAATACAATATATTC